TTTAAATTATATATTTAATAATATAATATCTATATAGATATTACATATATTATTTTGTGATATCAATTGCAAATATATTATATATGTAAATATTATTTATTTTTAATTTATATTAATATACAGTTTAGCATGAATTTTTTTTATGTATTTCTTTATACAAAATAAAAATAAAGATAATTTTAAATAAGATAAAAATTGAAATTTAAAATATGATATAAATTTATTAAAATTTATAAATATAAAATATATTTAATATGAATATTTTTTTAATAAAAGTAAATAAAAACTGAGTCATGCGGTTCAACTAGTGACCCACCGGTTCAACCTTTGACCCACTGACCCAGTACCTTAACCGGTTCGATGACCGGTCCGATTTTTAAAACTATGCTCCTGATATTGGGGGAGTTCCGACTTCACCAAGCTGCCAGGTGTCAGCTTCTGAAGAAGGGGCGTTTGATATAGGAATTTCCTGGGTCTTGTACGAATGGATTAACCCATTCGTACAAGGCCCAAGAAATTCCTATATCATGCTCTCATTATTCTTTTTCGACCAAAGACAAGCCTAAGGGGTTGTCCCCATTCATGTGAGCTTTGGCACAAAACAAAAGTTTTTTCTCTACCCCTACTAACCCTAACAAGAGTACTTTGTGGTTAACCATTATTCTCTACGATGAATAATAGAAAATTATTATGATTATTCGGTGGGTCTGGAGATGGAGAAACAAAACAGTGTTCTCCCTTGAGACATGGAACATTCATCATGTTGTTTTAAGCATATATAACACCCATGCGCAATTACCATTCCTCTAAAATTTTACTCATCAAAGACATACTTTATAGGAATAGTCCTCCTTAAAGAATCATTTTTATAAAACTAAACATATAATCAATCATATGGGAATAGGTGGTGTGGTTAGAGATGAAGTTGAAAGATGGTTGTTTGATTCTCTGCAACTAAAGGCAAAGGGAACCATATCCACACAAAATTGTTAGCCTTACATCAAGGCCTCACTAATTATTGGAACAAGGAATTCAAGTGTTTCATGTGAATTTTACCGTTTGCGTGTTGCTAGCCTCCTAACCAATTGAGAAGATGTAGTGCGTGTTTGGAGAAATTGATCTTTGACGTAGAAACAATCTTCACGCGTTTTTAGAAGAGAATATGCGTGTTACCTTGATGCAACGCGCATTCAAATACGCACGTAATAATCCAATGTCATAAATATGATAAATTACTATAGAAAATTCATGATTTTTTCGTTAAAGATTGAAATACCTTAATTATTCATTTAAACACAGAAATCAATACTATGATTGACTGTCTAGTAAGATAAGGTGTCTCTATAAATTTTTATGTCAAAGATTGAAGTGATCCTTTAAACAATATATTTGTTTTAAGTAAACACAATATGTCTATTACATGAATACAATACCTTTTTTTTTTCTTCTTATTATTACACCAAAATAATTAAAAAACACTATTTGTTACTTTCCCTCAAACTCCTTACTCAAGACAATAATAAAAAAATAGGTAAAATTAACCTATTTAATCTTCTATCTTTTTTTTTTCATTAAATATAATCCTTCTTTTCTATTTTTTACACTAAACAAAGTGTTAATAGCCTTTATTAATTTCAATATTTAAATTTTTATATTTTTTATGAGGTATTCCTTCTATATATTATTTTATACATGGTTGTAGATTATATATTTTAGTAATAACATATAAAAGTTAATCTTTATTATACAATTATTATTATTATTATAAAAGTTATATTTCAATATATTATCAATATACATATATAATTTTTTTTAAAGAGTGTCAACTTTATTTTGTTATGTTAAAAGTTTTTTTTTTTTTTTTAATTTTTTTTTAGGCAGAACTATTACTGCTTAAACCTAAATATTCAAAATGGCCAAGGCCAAGGCCCAGGTCCAGGCCCGCACCTTCCTTTCACTTTTTTCGTTTCTCTTCTGCTTTGTTTACCTATTGCATTTTGGCGTCTTCTCCGTTTAAGGTGCAGCCTCAACCTCGCCGGCGTTACTTCTCCGGCGTCTCCACTCTTCTCTCTCCGGTAACCGCTTCTGCTCCCCTCTCTTTACATTTATTCGCTTCTCTTCAGAATTAGCTTTTCCATCAGTGAGATTTTGTAGTTTATTTATTATTTTATCGTATTGTCTTTGAGGGTTAGTTGCGTAAGAGAAAAGGGAAAATGCCTTCATTTGTTATTTGAGGCTTCGAATCTCATAAGAAATGTTAATACGAAGGGTATTTCCTCTAATTACCATCACAAGCATTTCTTATCTATATATAAGTCTAGCTCGTATCTTAAACCATATAACTACTATAAATTGTACTTCCCTCTGAATGTGCACATCGTTATCTGTTGATACTTATTAAATCAAGATAGTGTGTATTTGAATCTGAAAAAGGAACAATCCTTTACCTTAAGCTCCTTTACATTCAGGAGCTAAGTTAATTTCTTCTTAAAATATTGGGTTATCGATGGGTTGCATTGCATGGGATGAGTGGACACATCAAACAGATAGGTTTAGGATTAGGATTAGTACTAGGAATGAATGCATTTGAGAGAAAGTTGCAGCAGTACTGGTTGTAAAAAAATTGATAAAATCTCGCGATAGGTTGTTTGTAATTGGCTGAAGGAGAGAAGAAGCCCTTTATTGAATGGAGTATAGCCCTACCGATAGAGGTAGAGGAAGACCCAGAATAATTATTGGCAAAACCATTATGGAGGATTGAGAGGTCATCGGTTTGTTTATTAACATGATTCACAATAGAAGATAGTCATATTTTTTTAAGGTTTGTACATTGCTATGCTTTTCCGTTGTAAATTTAGGTGGCTTTCTGTTGTAATGTCAATCAGAATCCTTTTTCTGTAGCTAGAAAATTTTAGGTTGATTGGATTTGTAAAATAGTAAGTCTGTAATTTGTTGATTAAATTTGAAATTTTAAGCTTTTTAAAAATCAAGAAATTATGGTCTGTAGTTGGTAATTTGAAGATTCTATTTCTGATGTATTCTCTATCATGGAAAACTGTTTAAAGAATCCAGAGGTTGATCCCTGATTCTGAAAAATGTAAATTTGAATAAACAAACTCCCTCTGTAAAAAGAAGCAAAAAGAACACAGGAAACTGAAAGTGCAGCTGCCAAATGGATCAACTCCACATGGTTGCAAATGACATAAAAGCTATTTCAAGTGACATCAACTTTGTTCCACCAACGTTAACCAAACTGAGTGCTTCAGATTTATTCTGATCTTGGTAAAGCTGGAGCTTTATTGCTTAGAGATTCGAAGTTTGAGTGTGACCCGAAATCTGGAAAGATGTGTAACTGCTCAAATTCTATTTTCTAGGCTTCGTTTAGAGAGCTAGAGAGCCTGCTTTGAGTTGGGAAAAGGCATAATCATCTGGTGCAAGGATGGTTATGCCCCCACTCTTGGCTGTTATAAGCTGTGAGTTGATGTTGTTTTTGATTTTGGTGTTTTTGAGGAGGCGGATTAGGACTTGGAACATTTTGGCCTTTTTGAGGATTCAGGTGATGTCATTGGGACAGAGTCAGCAGAGTCTGGAGACTGAGGTAACGTGGGGATTGATGGTTTTGGCGATGGTGCTGCAGACTTTGGGGTAGGGAGAGTTTTTGCCGCAGGGGCTTTAGGGGCTGCTGCAGGGGCAAGTGAAATGGCCAAGGTTGTGGAGGAAAGGAGTAGGAAGAGTGAGAAGGAGAAAAAGGTTGCTTGATTCATCTTCCAGTTGCCAAGAATATTAGGACTAATGTGTGGTTTGTTACTCATTTTATAAAGACAGAGCAGTGAGTTTCTTCTCCTGTACCAAACAGATGAAATAGAAACTCACTTACCATTTTACAAAACTGCTGTGCTGGAAAAGATTCAAAGGCTGGTTTGCTTACTAGCAGCACTTCAGGAAATGAGTTTGTTTCATTTACACCCTATAAGTATAATATAGCTAATGTACTATTAAATTTTGTTCAGTGAACTGAACATTGTCGATGGAGGAATTTCATGGTTTAATTTACTCAATGCTTGCATTATAATGGCTTTTTGTGTGGATTGTTTCCTGTCTGGATTTTTTTTTGGGGGGGAATTTTTTTGTAATTTTAATTGAGTGAAGGCAAAGCTAATGGTTGGAGTCAGTAGAGAAACGGCTCTTTAATTTTTCAGCTAGAAAATTATTGGCGCATCAATGGTTTGGTGGGTATGTTAGATGTGATATAAGTTTTTGGTTTAGTGCTCCCTTCCTGTTTCAATTCAATTGTTTTACTTTTGTTTATTTAATATTTATCCATTCCTTACAAAGAGAAACAGAATTTGTGTCTTTAAGGCCGTTGTTCAGAGGAAATGTGATTCACATATATAGTTTAAATTCTCATACAGATTGGATAAGATCTAGTGAATATAAAAGATTTTATAAATGAAAGAAATTTAAATGTTTTAATCAAATATAAAACTTTATAAATGAAGTAATTTGGTTATTTTATCAAAATAAGAAATGAAGAAATTTAATTGCTTTGTAGTTTGTCCAAATGCGAGATTTTGAAAATGAAGGAATTTAATTTCTTCATCCAAACAGAAAATTTAAAATTGTAGGAATTTCAATTGAAGCAATTGAAATTATAAAATGTGTTGGAATTCTAAAATTCTCTATCCAAACACAACCTGAGGTAAGTTGAACCAAATACTGAACTAGAGGATAATTTTTAAATTTGGTCTGGTTTGTTGCATGTATAGTGTGATTTCCAAATTGGTGGATATTGTTATGTACTCTAGCTAGACAAAGAAGATGGGAACAGAATGAAAGTGGCCATAGTTTGTTTATCCCTTGGGGTTGGCTGAATGTTTTGGTGACCACATGAGCAACTGCATTAGACTTATAGTGATGACTGACTATTCATTTTTATTTTTTTTCCTGGCCTATATATATATATTAATAAAGGAACATAAAATTTTTCAATTATGGGTTTGTATTACATGTTTATTTATCTGTAAATTGAAAAAGAAATCGAATTTTTCCTGAATGTATGTGAAGTTGTAGGATAATGGGGCGGAAAGCTGGTACACTTTTTATCAACCCTAAGAGATTTAGTTCACTTCAAAAACCTTGCATGAAGGAAATGGCATTGTTTCTCAACTGTATGGCTGCAAACCATAGCGATCTTGAAGCTTGTGCTAAGCAGAAGGAGCTATTAAATGCCTGTATGGAATCTCAGGTAATATAGATATAGTTTAATGAAAACTGACATCCTTTGTTGCCCTCGAACTTTCTCAGGTTTCACTTTTATCATATTACTTGAAGCTAAATAGTGCAAAAAAATAAATCTTCAATTTTGTTTTTTCAGAGTAAAAAGAACAGAAAGTCTTGGGGCAGTATCAATTATCAACTGCAGAGGCTTAGCCGAGGAAGGAAGTAATTCTAAGATTTTCATATGTGTATTTGGAAAGCTTAGCCTGTTATGCACTGCTTTGGTTGTCAAGCTAAAATGACCGTACAGTAACTTGTATTCTCTATTGAAGCGTCTTGATGACGACATTTCTATTTTTTGTTTATTTAAATATTTTACTTAAGTTGAAAGAGATGGTGGAATAATATTGAAGAATACCGGTGTAATTTCTTTTCTGTATCAATTAAAGCTTTAACATACTACATATCATTTATGACAGCACACTGATATTGGCGCTGTCCTTCACACTCTGTATGGTGTTGGATTATGTTGTGTTTGATGTTCAATGGATAGATTTTACTGAGTTTAATCTATATATTATCAATATAAAACATCACTACGCAGACATTTAATATAAATTACTGTTACTACGAAGAACATGATGATATGTTAAAGTCAATTTTTGTTGGAAATCTGTGTAAAGATATGCTTTTGACAATTTATATAAATCAAATGCTTTTACCTGACTTTTTACATCTCCGTCCACCATTTTCACGAAATGGAGATGTGAAATACTCACTTGAGATGTAGATGGAGACGCACATCTCGTTATTTTCATTAGTATTCTTTTATGTATGTGTTTTGTGTACTTAAACGAGTCATCCTTAATTCATAGTGTGAGTGGAATTGTTTATACTAGTAACATTTTAAGACTCTCACGGTGGATTAACAAGAAACCCCCTAGTGTTCTAGTATGAAAGAAAATGTTTAAAATCAAATCACAAGACCTGCTTGTTAATATGTGATATTTTGTGGAGGACATGTTAAGAAACATTACATCTGTTTTTTGTTTTTTTCAATAGAAGTCGTGTTTTGAATGTCTTTTTTTTTTCTCTCTCTCTTAATTTTACATAAAAATTATGACTTCCACGTAAAAAAAAAATAACATTAAGAAGTTATATTTCACAAATTTATGTAGTATGGTAAGATGGAAATAACAAGAATTTAGACAAAATTTTGTGTTTCACACATAAGCACTTATCCTAAAAAAAATTGTTGAAGACAAAAAGTTACTCATTCATTATGTATTTAGACATATTTATCATGAGTTGTTCTGTACAAATACTTTTTTCAAACAGAAATATGATTTTATCGTACATCATAAATTCACACGTCTCCACATTCAATAATAAAATCACCTTTAAAATGTAAAAGCTATCATAGATGTAAAAAAAATGGTACTTTGAATAATTTTGGTTTAAACATAAAAAATTACGTACAAAACACGAGAGTTAATACACAGACTAAATAAAGATAATTAATTAAACTTGCACATATATAGTATGTGAACCAAATAAAAAAAATGTGAATCAATACTCTCTCTATATTTAACTAAAATAATAAAGATTAACTTCTCTATCAATTAATATAATTGTGACTTAGATATAAATTATGGATATATATCCAAACATGTACATATAGTAAACGATTATAATATAATATCCTCTGTTCCTAATCTATTCTACTATATCCCCCTATCCCCTGCTTGCTTTATTATGGGTTAGACCGGTTTTGGTGTTGATTTTGGGGTTGAACAACATTCAAATATGAGGCTGATTGGTTGAAGTGGAATCCTCCATGCACATGTACAGTGGTGTTAAGGCACAATAATGACATAGGTATGTAGGTTTATTCGGTCAAGGTAGAGTGGGTTTATGGAGAAACACTTGAGAACCACTTTTCACTTTTGTCAGTTCAATCCTTCCTATGTACACCACTTCCACTTGTGCCCTGTTACTCAACTACGTTTGTTTCCATCACTTACATTATGCTCTTTAACCCTTCATGCTTATTTCCATTTGGTTTTATGCTTTTTTTAGATTAAAAGTTCAATAGAGAGGAAAGAAAAAAAATTATATATAGAAGTAAAAAAAAAATGATATTTTAATAAATTAAAATAAGAAAAGGGGAGTGGGAAAATGTTCTTTCTTTTTTAGATGAATAGAAGACAGAGTGAAAATAAATAAATAAACTGTACTATAAAAAATAGTTTTAAATTAATTGAAAATTAACTTAAAAAGTTAAACTTTTTACTCTATTGTTTTTTTTCCCTTAACATGAATTTATTTACTATTTTTAATTTTCATTTTATAAAAAATATTTAGGTTTTTAAGTAGTTAAAACGAGAAAAATTAAAAAGAGAGTTCCACCCCCCACTTCACTCCAATTTGTGAGGAGTGGAGTTCTTTTTGTGGATTCCAAAAAAAAAAAAAATCTCCCTTTCTATTTTTTTTTATAAAATAAATAGCATAAATTTTATATTCTATTTTGTTTTTCTCATCTTCATACTCAAATAAACAAACATGTTAGAAATGGATCTTTATTAAAAAAAAATTGTCATTTTCAAATGGAAAAAATTGTAAATATTAAGATTGCTTTTATATTTAATAAAATTTAAATTAATAAAAATTTTAGAAGTCTTCACTGACAGTACATTGTATTGTACTAACATTTGATAGATTAATAAAAACATATGACTATAATATACTAATAAACTTATATGTTAAAATTAACAATTTAAGATAGATTCAAAATGTGTATATTATAACAACTTAATAGTAGTATTTGTTAAATAAAGATTATATTGCATCTGATATTGAAGTGGTGGTAAATAACTACCGACAAGTTTTCTGGCGGTGATTGCCATGCAGCTACATATAACCATCCATTTGCAATGGACATTATTCCTATAATAGATAAGAGATATTAAATTTTTAAGTTTTTAAATTTATTTTTCTATTTTATCCTTAAAATATATTATTAATTTTTAATAAAATTATTCTTTTTATGTTTTTACTATACATATCATTTTTATCCTTCAACTCATCTAAAATAACTATTCATTTCAAATAATAATTACTCATTCTTCTAAAATAACATATTCTTTCTCATATTTCTCCTCATTCTACCAATTATAATGAACTGATTTCTTTTAAAGCACTATACTACAATAACACGTAAGTAAAATATTTTTTATTTGTATATATAGATGTATGAAATATACCTTGGCTTCGCTATTATCTATAGTAATGGTTGAGCAGCATGCAGCATGTATACTTCAGGCACGTCCAATGCAGAAGCTAATTATGGTAGTCGGCTCTAGCTAGTTTTGGTTTCTAGCTATCCCCACACTCCAGTAGACTATATTCACTGTTTTGACTATTTTGACTTGTATGGCCATAGTTTTATCCACTTAGTGTATTATACTAATTAATGATACTTCTTTACCTTCATGCATGTATTTCATCATGTGAGTGAGTAGTGTTACTCGTTGTTCTGTTATGCTGTTGTTGAATTTTCTGATAAACATTTCACATCACCCCCCCCCCCCCCC